CCTGGGAGTAGCTGTGTCATGGAGAGCGACAGGACTGCGCTCAACAGTGCTGTGCATGTGAACAGTGACTCTGTTGTGCCTACGCCTAGCACGTCGAAGTTGCGACGTGGCACGAGGACTAAAAAACCGGTGAATAGGTACTCCCAGTAGTCTTCCTCCTAAGAGGGGAGGAGTGTTACAATGTTTGCTCAAATGCAGCGCCCCCACACGGCGCTGATAGTTGTGTTGAGCTGTGCAAGCCTGGCACAGGGGAGGGGGGGTGGAAACAATAAAAACATTTCATTCTAGGCATAGGGCTCAACAAGTTCTCATGTTCTTCGCGGGCCTTATGGCCTACTGTTCATGGTAGTCACTACCGCTTGGCCATCCGTTGATCTACACATGTAACAACTATCATAAGTTCACCTAAAGTTCACCTAAAGTTCACCTATCAGTTCACCTAAAGAAAAAGATTCATTGTATGCCCCGTGTTTCGTAGATTTGCACTCTATTTTCTGTTTTTCTATTTCGGTTTTATGTCGCTGAAATGCTTGAGTATAGTGGGACGAGCTGGAGATCTGTTTTAAGTGCGCCCCAAGGGAGTTCGCCTGGTCCTCCAAGCTGTTGTTTCGTGTGTTCACAGGTAGAAGTGAGTGTGCTTGTTGTCCTGCTACTTTACCAATCCTGTTCCAGACTCTCGCCTCATCTGCATATGAATTATTACCGTTAAAAATTTTTGCCAGCTTTCTCTTCTTGCTTGTTGACACATTCTTCTTCCTTGGGTCTTAATGTTTTTGAAGCTGTCAAGATTATCAGCTGTCAGTGAGTACCAAAGCAGCCTCCATGCTTTATTCTGCTTTTTGCGTGCATTTCGACACTCACTATTTCACCAAGAAACCCGTCGTCTTGCGCAGAGTACTGTTTGTGGGATACATTTCATTACAGCATCAATTAGAAAAGCGGTAAAAAAATCAACAGCTGCACCTACGCTTAGGCCACGTATGTTGGACCAACTTAGGTGAGTAGCTTTTTGAAACTCTTCCCAGTTGGCCTTGTCAATCTGCCATCTGGCCATGTGGAGGTCATAGATTATCTATGGGTGTGCTCAGGATTATTTGAAAGTGATCACTTCCGTAAGGATTATTAATTACTTTCCATTTGAGTAGGGGTAGGAGAGAAGGGGATGTAATGCCGAGATTTATGAATGAGCAGGTGTTCTTGGCTAGGCTGTAATTTGTAGGCTGCTTCTGATTCAAAAGACAAGCGCCGGATGAGAAAAGAAACTGTTCAATTAGACAACCTCGTGCATCGCAGTGAGAATCACCCCATAAACTACTATGTGCATTAAAGTCTCCAAGGACCAGATAAGGTTCAGGTAGTTGATCTATCAAGGACTGAAATTCTTGTTTTTTAAAGTGGTACAGTGGAGGTATATAGAGTAAAAAGAGCAGATGGTGACGAGTTAGTTCAAAAGAACTGCTCGAGCAGCCAATGCCTCAAGGGATGTTTGTAGTAGTAAACGTGTACATGCAACATCCTGATCAACTATAATGGCCACCCCACCAGATGACGCTACAGCGTCATCGCGATCCTTTCTTAATGTTACATAACGACGTATAAAATTCATGTTCTTGGAATTTAAGTGTGTCTTTTGTACACACAGCACTCTTGATGAATGTTTGTGCCAGAGTTCCTGGATAACGTCAAGGTTTCTAAGCAGTCCTCTGACGTTTTATTGTATAATTTGTGTATCCATTATGAGTGTAAATGAGTGCTGTGTGTACTAAAAAAAGTATTGCGTTAAGTCAGGAGCCCTTGTCAGGACCCGTAATGATGGTTTTCGGCTTTCTGGCGCGCTCCAAAGAGCCGCTCCTGTGCTTAGGCACCGAAGACAACGTTGGACTTGCCGTTGTGTCCATCCCCTCGGATGAGGTGCTGGATGCCCGCTCATGGTTCACGCGTGCGGACACGGAAGTCTTAGGACTATTTGTCAAAACAGAAAGCCCTGGGGCTTCAAGTCTGGAGGCCTGCAAGCCTTTTGGTGGCGGAAGAGCCTGTGCTACTTCCCCCAAGGGGGTGAATGGCACTGCTTCCCGTCCACTTTGTGTGGTACGTGGGGGCGCTGCGAATTTTGGTGGCACTGGCCCCTTTTGTGCCACATCTGCGAACGAAGAACCCTGCAAAAATAAACGCTTGTGTGCCTCTCTAAATGAGATGTTTTCATTTACTTTGAGTGTAAGTATTTATTTTTCATGTTTCCATGTAGGACACATGCACTAGTAAGTGGGGTGTCCACCGTCTCAGTTTGAGCAGTAAGGAGCTCCTTCTTCACAGTTGTCTGTGCCATGTTCATGCGAACTACACTTTGCACAGGTTTGACAGCCCTTGCAGCTCTGAGAGGCGTGGCTGAAACGTTGGCACTTGAAACAATGTCGGGGGTTGGGGATGTAGGGTCGGACATTTAACTTTAAGTAGCCTGTTTCGACTATGTTCTGGAAGTGTGCTTGTGCAAAATGTAAAAATGAGGTGCTTTGTAGGGGTTTCTTTGTTGTCACGCCTGATCTTAATCCTCTGTACATGCATTGCGTGCTGTTTGTTCCAGCCCTCAAAGACCTCTATCTCTGTCAGGTCAATTAGGTCTTGATCAGATACTACGCCTCGGGAACTGTTCAGGGAACGATGTGGTGTGATAGACACAGGTGTGGTTCGAAATAGGGAGAGTTTTGTCTGGTTTTTCATACTGGGCCTTGCTTTTACTTCAAGAAGAAAGCCTCTACTAGCCATATGTGCAGCCTAATAACCTGGACCAATGGTATTGGTGAGGCATTTCGAAACGAGAAACGGAGAGACTGTTTTTGCATTCTTTCCTTGTATTTCACATTGAATCACATAAAAGGGCAGGAAAATTTCTTTTGGATTTAAGAATCTATTCTGTGTTGCTTCAGTGCGCAGGGGGAGGGCGATCAGACAGTTTTGGAAATAGAAAAGAGGCCATAAAGTAAATATAAGTTCGACAGCCATGCCAGCCGCTCACCACGGAGCCCGAAATGGGGACACATCAGCACAATTATAAAAAGCCGTGCCAGCGCCAGCTGTACAAAGCCACTATAACCTAATATTATGTGACCAAGAGAGGGCACATACACAAGGTTAACTCTCGCCGCCTGGAAGATGTAAGTAAACAGAAGTGAGGAGATGACAGGAAAGATTGAAAGAGAGAAAAAGACTAAGGTCAGGGGAGAGAGAGACAGGAAAAGGCGACTGCCGATTTCTCCTGGGAGAGTCAGCCTAGGGGTGCCGTATACGTGAAGCTGGGGCCAAACGGGTGTGTTGCCTCTGCCGGGGGCCTTAAAGGTCCAATCACCTGGCGTCAGCTCAACACCCAGGATCCCCTTTTCCCTGGACACGGCAAAGCCATGCACGGCTAGGTGTGGGAGGAAAGTTGAAACCCCCCCCCCCCCCCCATTAGCTCGGGCCCGTGGTGTCGCTACGCACCAACCGCCTGTGTGTACAAATACCCCTGCGGGGCTCAGGAACTGCAACTGTTAGTTTTCCTTCTGGGCCCAGTTGGAATGGCAAAGCATGGGGGAAGAAGACCGGCGACGGGGTGAAGGAGATCTATGTGAGCGGGAGTTGGGCTATTCAGGTGTAACATGCGATCCTAATTGCCGAGTGATGTTGCCGTAGTGCTGTGAATAACGAAAATAGAATCCACAACTACGACAAAAGCGAGCAAGCAACATGCCCCGGAATACCACATGTGTAGCAGACGGGCCAGTTATCCGGAGTATGCCAAGGGTTCACAGGTGCTCGAGGTGGCAAGAAGGGTGGAATTACCAGATAAACTGGAAGTGGTGACCTGTAGTAGTTGGTGGCTGGACTGAATGAAGGGAGCACCAGTTGGGCACGGGGTCAAGTGGCGGCTTCTGCATAAGTCAGTGGTAAAGTAACTTGTATTAGGGACGCGGGAAAAAGGAGAGCCTCAGCAACTTATTCTCTGAATAGCACGGCAAAGTGAGTGGTCCAGTGCAGTGGGGTTTAAGTTCATGGTGGCCACAAGACAAAGCTGTCGAGCAACTTCCTCCTGGATGTACCACTGATTTTGAGGCATCAATGAGGTGTAGTCAGAGCCACTGCTTCTGCACTGCAGAGCTGAAAAGTCCGCTGTTAGCATATTAGTGCGACATGTAGAAATTCACAGCTTGCACAGCTCACAAAACTTTGACAGAGCTTAATCACAGTCAAGACAGTCTGTGGGTCTTTGGCCACGAGCATACGAAAAGCGTCTTCGTCAATGCCTTTCATTGTATGCTTCATTCTCTCAGCCTGTGTCATACTCGCATCCACTCACCTACAGAGGCCGATCATTTCCTCAATGTAGCTCGTGAAGGTTTCACCATTTTCTTGAAATTGTTCACACAGGATATGTCCAGTGCGAAGCTTGCGCATGGATAGGCAATGAAAAAAACAAGGTCACGGTCTCTTTGAAAAGCAACCATATGGTGATTGCTGAACCATAGGCTGGTTAAATCTGTGAGGTAGAAGATGACGTGAGTCAGCTTCGCAGGGTCATCCCACTTGTTAATCGCGCTGTCACACTCGTACTCTGCCAGCTAGTAGTCGACATCATGATTTTCAGTGCCATTGTAGGGTGGGTCACGCAGAGGAAGTACATCAGGGCCCATGGCAGACGGTGACGTGGAAGAGGCTTCTGGGGGAACAATGCGCTCAGTAATTCTGAAATCAGATAGTAGCTTACGGATGCAAAACTCCAGCACGTTGAAGGAGATTACCCAGCAGCTCCACTAAATACAGCAAGCGAGGTCGACTATGAATACTTGTTAATATTATTGATGAAGCGTTAGCCGCAACAAGCTGGTTCAGGCAGAAACCCAGCTAGCACAAGCCACACGAACAACGTCTTTTTCCATGATGGCACAGAGCCCTTCCTGTTATAGTTCCTACAAGGACTGAGAGTACATGTAAATAAATAAAATTAATAACAACATCCCAATGCTCACCTGTGGTCGATTGCCATTCCGTGAGCGGTCTGCTTGTCGCCATTCCTCGGTGAGCTCATGCACCTCACTTGTGAGCTCCTCATTGGTACGCGTCGTGATCTCCAGGTTCCGACGCAAAACCACATTGAGGTGCATCAGCTCACGGCATCTGTGTACAACAAGACACCATGTACAACATTAGTGTCATCGCAGTGACAATTTACAAGCGTCTGCTTTATGCAATCCACAAAATTCTTCACACTTACCAAATGCTCTTCAAGCATGCTGTTGGCTAACAAAGAATTTGGTCAAACGGGCAATTTACTTAGTTATATTGAAACTTTCTTAGATTGAAATTTGAACTTTCACACAACATAGCATAACTACAGACACATTTTTACAGAACATGGGCTGCAAAAATGCTTAAACAGTGATAAATGAAATACAGTGGAACCCCTATTATACGACTTTTAAGAGACCACGCAAAACCATCATAAAATCCAGGCGTCGTATACAGCGAAATTCAGAGCAAGCGCCCCCACCCGTACAAATACCCCCTCCCCCTAACTTCACAAGCAATTTCAAATAGTCAAATCTCATTAATTGAAACACGCTTCATTCGAACTTCCGGTTAATTCGAACTAACACTGTGGTCCCGCCAAAGCTATGTGTATTCCAATGGGCGAAAACGCCCGGTAATTCAACCGCGCAAGCACTTACGACGGTTATTTCGAACATAACGTGCTCCTGAAATGCTCTCAGCACCTTGTACCTTGCACGCGCATCACCGATTACTTCAATTAAAGACGGATTTCCTGTGATTTGTGAATGAATGTAAGTCTTCTCAAACTTCCCTTTCCTGTGTTAGCTCCATGCACACGTGCTACTGCATTGTGAGCCCTCCGTTCATTTAGCTTTCATTAATTCCGACTTCTTTTCATTCGAACAAATTTTCGGGCCCCTTCAATTCGAATTATCGAGATTCGACTGTATCAGCGTCGTCCCCTTTTTTCACCACTCCACGACAACTGCCCAGTTACAATGGCCGTGGATTTTTCAACAAATATTGTGTTTTCTTTTGAAGTCCTGCTGGCCCCCATGAATCCAATCTAATCCAATCCTGCTTTGCACTGCAGCCTGATTGCTCTGCACCATTTGTTGTTTTGTGTTTGCAGTGAGAGGTCAGCTATGCTTGTGAAGTTCTACACAATGGCGAAGAAAATCGAGGTTATTCGGTGGCATCGAGAAAACGAAAAGAACGTGCACCAGACATCTCAACAATTCAAGCTCGATTGGAAGCGCATACAGGAGTGGGAGAAGAATTTCAATAATTTGCTGCAGCTAAACAACGGGAATGCAAAACTTTGACAGAAGCTCAGTAACGGTGCATCACTGTTCAGTGAACATGTGGACGATGCTCAATTCGAGTACCATGAGCATGAAATAAGTGCAGAACGCGCCATCAGCAACCAAATTCTTTCTGAAGAGGCCGTCAAAATTTCCAGCAGGATGCAGGTGGGAAACTTCGTAGCCTCCGGCCATTACATAAATTGCTTAACAGGGGTTCGGCGTTGCAATTTGCTACACTACGAACGAGAGCCTGAAGACACGCGAGAAACTTTTGAAGGCAGCAAATGCCTCTCAATCTTCACGAACTCGCAGTGACAGCAAAACTGCTACACCTTATACAGTCGAGCCCACATATAACGGCCCCACTTAAAACGAACTTTCGCTTAAAACAAACAATATCCGCCTGACCGTCAAAATATACATTGGTTCAATGGCACAAAATCGCACTTACAACAAACGTCTCCGAGCGCTGCTGATCGCTTACAGCGAACGAAGTCAGCGGTCTGCCGACTTCCCGGGAAACCAATTTCGACCACCGATCAGGCATCGGGGAAGTGCCCATACATTCTTATTGTTAAACGCCGACCCTGCCTCCGCGACCCTTTAGTTGCCGCTCTCCCCAACCCATGGAGGAAGGAAAGCTGTTTCCTTCCTCCATGTCCCGACTGCTTTTTGTTACGCACCCCTCCATCCTTTGTCCCCCCGCTACTCTGAGCAACCCGAATCGCCAGACGAGGGCCGTGTTTTCACAATGCCACCGATCTTTCGAAGACCGGTCGGCCATCTACCCTGTTTTTTATCTCTGGCACTGTCGTTGGTGTCGCCGGCCTCGAATGAGCAGACCATTTGCAAACATCGTCGGCCACCGACTGTATTGGATAGTCTGCGTCGAGTGCATGCGCATACGCTACCCCACCCACTCTGATAATTTGCGATTGGTTTCGTGTTTAGAACTTGTTCTCGCTCATTTCGCACTCGGCTCAGCATCTTTTCCGCGCTCGTGCGGAAGCGCGAAAACGGCTGTTAATTTGCGCAGAACGAATTGCGAAATATTGAAGTTCGTGAGGCCACACAAGCCCGCCGGTGCAACAAAACGATTTTTTGACCACGGCTGCTGATTCTTCGAACACTGCCGCACGCAGCAATCCAGGCGGCCATGCTTTGACTTCTGCGCGTGCAGGCACTCTTTCCAAGTTTTTCTACGTGTGAGTTTCGCGGACCTTTCAAGCAAGCTACCAAACGTGCCTCCTTCCCGTGTGTTTCGGTTTTAAAGGTCCCCCTCCCGCCGCATCCTTCCCCCCTCTTTATCGCAACTCCTTGCCATTTTCTCGCAAGTCTGCTTTTCTCTCTTGATCACAACCCCTTCACCCGCCTCCACCGCTTCGCGACGCCCGCCACGCTGGCTCGAATTAGTTTCGTTTTCTGACCGGAAACGGGCCCAGAGCTGTTTCACGCATTCTGGCATGTGTGTCGCGTGTGCGCGTCTTGCTCGCTCTAGATGTGCGCGTGTGGTCATTGGTGGCCAACGGGAGGACTAGCACGCTTTTTCCTGCCACTCAACAAAACGTCGAAAGTGTGACCGCTTGGCTTGAGCGTAATTCGTGCATTAGGTGCCGCGTTGCGGAGCGCTTGCTCATAGCTATTGACCACCTGGCAGCCAACTTGCCGCTTCGGGCGTCCCGGTATTCAGCTGAGCGTGGAGATGGTGAATATTTTGCGGGCGGTGGTGACGGCTACATGCGCGCGAAACTATTCTCGGGAGACCGAATTAATCGCCATCAGGCCCGATTCCGAACCGGAAGCTTCCGAACTATTGTGGCGATTTGTGGCAGCACGTCATCGACTTAGACCAGGGAGAGCAGGTGGGGCATCTGTTGCGGTGGTTTAATTACGGCCGACGATGAGGCCAACACTGCGAAACCGTGCATGGATTGGGGCATTGTGAATGAAGTACGTGGCGAGAGCAATTTGGAGGAATCGGATTGCAAGAACGACGAAACTTTGGAGCCAGTGCATCATGCAGCTTATGCCACGGGCCTCGGCGAACGAGCACCCTGCAGTTTTAAATGAACTCGAGACCGCCCTTATCGCTTCTGCTCTTCGAAACACGTGCATCATGGACTTTTTGGGGCAAAAAAAAGTTTGCCTTTTCACTTGCAACTTTTTTAAAAGCTGTGTTTAAATTACTACGAACTTCGGGATACAGCGAACAGATGCCGCGTCACGCTCAGGTTCGTTATAAGCGGGCTCTACTGTATAACATAGCCAACATGGATCAGACGATGGTACAAATAGACAACCCCACCAACAGAACAAACAACATGGTCAGCGAGAGCACCATACAGATTGTGAACACTGGATGTGCCCGGCAAGGCTTGATAGTTTGCCTGGCTTCTTGCGCTACCAGCCACAACCTCCCAGCTTTCATTATTTTCAAGAAGCAAAGCAGAAGAATTTCAGCCAGGGCCATTGCGAGCTTTCGTGTACAAGGTGAGAATAATTTTATTTCTTTGATGAAGGCGAGGGGTCATATTGTCGCCTAGTTCGTTTAAACACAACCCTGACTTTTTTTTTTTTTTCATTCTTGGAAATTGTTCGTCTCACCAGCACGAAAAAACGGCTGGATGAGATTGGATAAAATTCAAGAATGGCTGTGGAGAGTCTAGTAAACGTCGACGACGTGCGACGCTTACTAGTGTACGACTAGGCACCCATTTATAAGACACAAGCCACCCCAAATGCCTTTGAGGAGTACGACACCGATGTGCTTTACGTGCCTGCGGGGTACACGAGCTGCCTGCAGCCTGCCAACGTGTATTGGAATAAGCCATTCAAGTCCACTGTGCAACATCCGTGGGAGCAGTATATGCGTGAGGAACCACAAACACCAATAGGAAACTTGAAGAAGCCGTCGCGGCAACATGTGCTCGATTTTGTTGCCGAGGCATAGGCCGCTGTACCTGAGGATAAAGTGGCACAATCCTTCAAAGGATGCAGCATTAGTAATGCGCTCGATGGGTTGGAAGACGGCGACATGCACTGCACAGCAGTGTAGCCGATGTTGATGCTGTAGTGCCAGAAGAACGCGGTGGACTTCAAGAGGAATGCTGCAACCTATTTTTCGTAACTGACTCGGAGGAGCCTTACAACAATTTTGAAGGCGATTAAACCTACAACAAATCCTGGACCTAAATAAAGTTCCGTAATAAAATTTTATTCTATGAGCAGCAACATTTACAGAACCTGTTCAGTTGCCAAACTCTTCGCATCCGCCATACACTGAGAGCAGCACATAACAAACTTCCGGTCCAAATGGCACAACTGCAGCAGCAAGCTCCACAATCAGCAGATGAGATGATGAAGCACAAGCGAACACCATGCATGCAGCTGCTATGCGTAGAAATATTTAATGGCTTGAAAACGAAAGGATACGGTTGACTAGTTTATCTCTTTAGGTGATCGTGAAGGCTTAATACATTAGCAAGAATGTCTGAAAGCGCGTTAGATAGTGTTCGATGTTGCGGGAACTATTCGTGACGAGTTCGTGCTTTAGATGGCAGCACCGTGTCCGCGAAAGTGTGGATAGGTGGTCGGCAGTGCCTATACAAATACACACCACTGTGCTTTGTTGTGTGCAGTCTGAGCCGACTATTGGAAAATAAAATTTGTTGATTGTCATTTACTGGTAATATCTACGCTTCTTTCTACTGAAACAGTGCACAAGGCCTATACAGCGTTACCGTTACCAGTGAGTAAAGCGCATTCTGCCGGTCAAAGGGATGCTTGCCCTGGTAGACTGTCTACCTGCATTCGTAGTAA